CAGAGTTGAATGTTGTTGTTTGTACTTCAAGGGATAACGTGGATCCTTTGCCCGCTTTTTATTGCATTATAACGATTTGCTCTCATGGGCAGGTAGGTACAATGCCGACCGGCTCATATAGAGGGCTATTAGCCGGCTGTATCAGCCCTCTACCAGCCGGCGCTTACTAATACTTGTGTTTTTTATGGCTATAATATGCGACTGTTAGAGGGTTATTAGGTTAACAACCGGTCGGCATTCTATCTATTTACCCTCTCATGAGCAAGTAGTTAAATTTGGAAGTATTTTAAGTAATTACAGTCTTTCTAAGATATGTCAATTTTTGAAGCGAATTTTTATTAAATTCAAAAAGTTTTTTATCAGTCACTACAATCTTGGCTCGTATTCATGTCGATTGAAAGGTTTAGTGATTGAAAAATTGCAGTCAAAGTTCCCTTTAATGTATGATGTTTTAGTTGATTTCAATACAGATTCTCCGTCATTAAAAATAACTATTTCAAAATAATTTAAGTGCCTGCCAAGTCAGAGTCACCCAAAACAACTTAATCTTCGCCATATTTAGCCTTTTAGGTTTTTAGAAACCTAATCTTTAAGTGCCAATGTTTGATGCGAAAATACATATTCCTGAAATTTGAATCGGGTTATTTTTATAAGTCCCTGGGGATCTATAATTTTGACTTAGAAACTTTTACAAATAGTACATATACAATACAGCAAAGAGAATCAAAAATAAACGACATCATGGGGTATTATGCTGTGTAAAAACTTAGAAAGTTTTAGAAAGTTTTCTGCCGTAGTTTAAGTTAGGTAATGCTGTAATGGAGCTGTAAATGGACTGTATGTAAACAGTTCAAAGATGATATGTACTTTGAATGGACATCCCATCATTTAAAACAACATTATATTATCAAAAACATATATCTTCAATAAGGTGAACCAACGAGGTAGCACTAACAGGTGAAAATAACGGTAACTTTCCAAAGTTTCATGAGCACTGTACACTCTTCAGGAATTGCAGCTGCCATGAAAATGGATGTTTGGGGAATTGCCGTTATTTCTACTAATCGTGACCTAGTTAATATCTTACTGAGCATAAATACTCGGTTTGGGTTAGAAACGACATCTGGGTCCCTACCCTCGCACAAGATTATTCTCAATTTTCTTGTTGTGTCCACAACTATACCGTTGATCAGAGTCACATCTGATGACTTCAGTGAAAGGGCTGATGACTTCAGTGAAAGAGCTGGTGACCTAGTGAAAGTGCTGGTGACGATGAGAAAGACCATAAACCAGGGATTCCTTCGGGAGCATGTAAGATTATATCCAAAGTTTGTTCGCCAATGGGGTGTGTCTGGGTGTCAAAGATCTTCAAGGTGGGTGCTACTTGTGATGAACTCTAGAAGGATGGGATGGTAATACTCGGTCTGGCCGTCTGGAAGCCCATAGAATTCCAGTTCAGAAACCGAGTAAGGAGGTGCGGCTACTGATGAGAAGCCTCCTTAAAGTTTATTTGGGTTAGAAACGACATCTGGGTCCCTACCCTCGCACAAGATTATTCTCAATTTTCTTGTTGTGTCCACAACTATACCGTTGATCAGAGTCACATCTGATGACTTCAGTGAAAGGGCTGATGACTTCAGTGAAAGAGCTGGTGACCTAGTGAAAGTGCTGGTGACGATGAGAAAGACCATAAACCAGGGATTCCTTCGGGAGCATGTAAGATTATATCCAAAGTCTGTTCGCCAATGGGGTGTGTCTGGGTGTCAAAGATCTTCAAGGTGGGTGCTACTTGTGATGAACTCTAGAAGGATGGGATGGTAATACTCGGTCTGGCCGTCTGGAAGCCCATAGAATTCCAGTTCAGAAACCGAGTAAGGAGGTGCGGCTACTGATGAGAAGCCTCCTTAAAGTTTATTTGGGTTAGAAACGACATCTGGGTCCCTACCCTCGCACAAGATTATTCTCAATTTTCTTGTTGTGTCCACAACTATACCGTTGATCAGAGTCACATCTGATGACTTCAGTGAAAGGGCTGATGACTTCAGTGAAAGAGCTGGTGACCTAGTGAAAGTGCTGGTGACGATGAGAAAGACCATAAACCAGGGATTCCTTCGGGAGCATGTAAGATTATATCCAAAGTTTGTTCGCCAATGGGGTGTGTCTGGGTGTCAAAGATCTTCAAGGTGGGTGCTACTTGTGATGAACTCTAGAAGGATGGGATGGTAATACTCGGTCTGGCCGTCTGGAAGCCCATAGAATTCCAGTTCAGAAACCGAGTAAGGAGGTGCGGCTACTGATGAGAAGCCTCCTTAAAGTTTATTTGGGTTAGAAACGACATCTGGGTCCCTACCCTCGCACAAGATTATTCTCAATTTTCTTGTTGTGTCCACAACTATACCGTTGATCAGAGTCACATCTGATGACTTCAGTGAAAGGGCTGATGACTTCAGTGAAAGAGCTGGTGACCTAGTGAAAGTGCTGGTGACGATGAGAAAGACCATAAACCAGGGATTCCTTCGGGAGCATGTAAGATTATATCCAAAGTTTGTTCGCCAATGGGGTGTGTCTGGGTGTCAAAGATCTTCAAGGTGGGTGCTACTTGTGATGAACTCTAGAAGGATGGGATGGTAATACTCGGTCTGGCCGTCTGGAAGCCCATAGAATTCCAGTTCAGAAACCGAGTAAGGAGGTGCGGCTACTGATGAGAAGCCTCCTTAAAGTTTATTTGGGTTAGAAACGACATCTGGGTCCCTACCCTCGCACAAGATTATTCTCAATTTTCTTGTTGTGTCCACAACTATACCGTTCATCAGAGTCACATCTGATGACTTCAGTGAAAGGGCTGATGACTTCAGTGAAAGAGCTGGTGACCTAGTGAAAGTGCTGGTGACGATGAGAAAGACCATAAACCAGGGATTCCTTCGGGAGCATGTAAGATTATATCCAAAGTTTGTTCGCCAATGGGGTGTGTCTGGGTGTCAAAGATCTTCAAGGTGGGTGCTACTTGTGATGAACTCTAGAAGGATGGGATGGTAATACTCGGTCTGGCCGTCTGGAAGCCCATAGAATTCCAGTTCAGAAACCGAGTAAGGAGGTGCGGCTACTGATGAGAAGCCTCCTTAAAGTTTATTTGGGTTAGAAACGACATCTGGGTCCCTACCCTCGCACAAGATTATTCTCAATTTTCTTGTTGTGTCCACAACTTTACTGAGCATAAATACTCGGTTTAACAGTCAAAAAGGTTTTATCATTGGGAGAAAAAGAAAAGTCGACGACTCAAGTAGTCCAAAGAAGAAAGCGTAAAATTTGAAATTTCAGTGATCCACTGCAGTTCAAACAAATTTTTATTTATCAGAAACAATTTGGTGAACAGATGTTGACTAGTTACGTAACTAGCGTGCGGATAAGAATTCTTCACGAAATGCCAAGAAATAACGACATTTCTCATGAAACTGATAATTACGTTCTCAGCAAATCAAGGGACATAAATTGACCCGGTCAGGTGTTACACTCAAAACGATTAGAGCAAAGGTAATATCTTGCTAGCCTGCAATCTGAAATGATCCACAAACTCAAAAATTGAAAAATCGTATGTTAGTTATTGTATATTTTGTTACAGAAGAAATTGTCCTCGAAAAGGCCAAATTACTCTGATATGGTTTCTAAGAAACATCTTAGAAAAGATATCCTAGAAATCCAAAATATTGTTAACATGGACAATGGCCATAAAATACGATCTCTTAAAATATTTTGGTGAGGCCCAAAATCCATAGTGTCAAATATATACCATGGTGCAGGTATTACCCTTACCCTTAAGAACACAGTGACATCAGGACCGTGATGTACCTGCATTCTGCAAGAATGTATTCCTTATTTCATTTCTTTTATTCATCGTACTCTTCTATCGTTAGTTAAATTCTAACTTGTTAATATTCTGTAAGAGTTTCAGATCTCAAGCACTGGACAAATTATTTCCGTAACCTAAGCGATAGAATACGACAGATACAAACAAGAGGAGGTTAACTCTTTGTAATTATAGATTCGGTGTTTGAGTGAGATTAACCGGGAAGGGCCGGGATTAGGGATAGGCAGTTTTCATTCAGAAGCCATTTAACTTCATAACCCTTGGGCTCATATTATTTTCCTCGCCCAAAAATTATCACATGACTTGGGTTTTTACCTAAATCCCACCCCTAACCATAGCCCAAAGCTATCTATATCATAACTATAAGTATAACCACAACCCTGGGGCCTAGCTGTAACCCAAAACAGTTTTTGCCCATACCTCTTCAGGCAAGGATTTTAACCCTATGTCATGGTGTGATTCATAATCAGCGTCCAAAAATACATCGAGTGATTCTACTTTCATACCCTCATGGCCTTTTCACAAAAGTTATTAAAAAACGTAGAGTGGTTTAGTGGGAGCGTATCCTTTGGGGCAATCCAGACTACAACCAAAACCAAGAAAGCAAATATAAACGAGGGCAATTTAAACGGACTAAATAAAACGGCTATTGGTCGTTTACCATCTCCAATAATGACCGTACGTATGTAGCCGTTCTATTTATAAGAACGAATCAGGGCCAAAAAGATATTTGACTTAATAATTTTCGAGACAACCCAAACTATTATATATCCATCAACATTTCTCATTCTACGGAATACAGCACAATGATCACCCATTACTGATAATCTCGAACCATAGACCACAGTTGGTAAATATAGAGAAATAGGCCAAAATATAGAGATATAGGCACAGCGAGGACAATATAGAATGTGACTACACTTCATGATTTCACATACAATTATTCTCAATTTAAATTCTCAATTTAAGTATAAAAATATAATCCCGAATATAGAGATATAGGCACAACGAGGAACCTAAATTGTGACCAAACTTCACGATTTCAAATACAATTATTCTCAATTTTATTTCCCGCGCTGTACGACCTTAATACAAAACTTCGAAAATATTTACCAACAAAAATGTAACATTTTACCTCACTATCATTCATCTGAGGCAGGATGTTTAAGGATTCCGTTAGCTCCGATACATTACTTTGCTTCGTTTCCAATGATGGCTCAGTCCGCTCATAATCGTAATACTGCAAATTTAAAAGAAATTCATAGCTTAAAGATCAATTGTTTTAAACTATAAACAAAATTGTAATTTGTACAGACAAATAATATTTGAAATACAGGTGAATACCTATTGAAACAAACTTAAATTGATTGTATCTTTGAAACAAATATCGTCACCAGTTCAAAGGTCTCGATTATAGCCTTTTTGGCAATCTCACGAATTAAGCTTACCTTTGCACTCTGAAGCTTCTCAATAAGGAGTAAGTTATGTTTAGTGAGAGTGGTAACAGCCATCTGAACAAAGTTAGTCTCCTCGTCAACGTCCTCCAAAAACAAAGAGTCTGAATCTGAAACTGGGGGTGAATTAAGCAAAACATGAGACTCAGCAGCATTGAGCTGCCTTCCGCCCACCTAACCACGAAACCAGGGAACTAAGCTCATACCTCATTGGACGCCCACTTATGAACGCGAGCTTAGTCGCACACCCACCCACACATTTGCGCACAAACACTCGACCAAACATACCTGATAAACTAGAGAGATTACAATCCGGAGTGTCCAGTTCCACACTCCGATTCCTCAGAGACCCCTGCTCCTGGTTATTATTCAGGTTGTTCAGGATATTTACTGGGGCTATCTCTCCTATCCCTCGTCGCTGTCGCAGCGATGGAATTGTCTTGTTGGCCACACATCTCCCCAGCCACAGCTCTGACATTTCACCGCCGCTATTATAAGTTATAATATTATATATATAAACTAAATATGTTTAGTTTATATTATATATATATAATTAAGTTATTATAAGTCATTAAGTTATCATAAGTTATTAAGTTTATATTTAGTTTATATTTAGTTTATATTTAGTTTATATTTAGTTTATATTTAATTTATATTTAGTTTATATTTAGTTTATATTATATATATTATATACGTATATATACGTATATAATTAAGTTATTATAAGTTATTAAGTTATTATAACTATAAGTTATTAAGTTACAGGGTGTTTCAAAAGTCTGGCCAGGATGTTCTTTTTGGATAACGCTCAAACCATTTGTCTTAACTTTCATTCTGTAAAAAGTTATCGGTAGTTTTAAGGTTTAATGGTGACTTCTCAAGTTTGTACGTTACCATGACCACCATAGCAACCGTAATCAGTCCCCTAGCAAACGAAGTAAATTGAGTTAATTTTTTAGTTCAAGAGGATATGACTGACATTGCTCCTTTATAAACACAGCTTTTGAATACAAAATCTAACAAGTAAATTGACGATGATAGAAAGTCGAAATCGTGAAACAGTACCAAGGATTTGTAAGTTAAATCACGCAAATTTACCAGACTTTTGAAACACCGCCGCTATTATAAGTTATTGAGTTATTGTTTATCAAGGGTTATAGCCGGCGACTATATGTTTATTTATTGGTAGGTTTATTCGGAGAATCCAGTGTATTTTCAGGGTAATAAGGAAGAATATTAGTACGCTGCAAATAATGCATCTTGACGCATACATCATTTTTCTACCAGCTAGGAGACTCAAAGACATAAAATATAAATAAGCCTCATAACTCTTGACGATTCAAATCCCTCGAATATCGAAGCAATAATTAGCTAGTATAGAACCAGCTGACACGGCCAATGATAAACCATGAAGTGACACAGATCTTAAAATCGAGGATGGATATACCTAAAGGTTTAGAGATTATTAGGGGGGGGGGGGGGGGTCCAAGGGGAACTTTGGGGAGTTTTGGGGAACTTTTTTTTGGGGAACTTCAGGAAACCTGGGGGACTTTCCCAAGTTCCCCAAAAAATTATCAATGAAACAAATAATTTTGGGGAATTTTGGGGAACTTTTTTTTGGGGAACTTCAGAAAGTTCCCCAAAATTCCCCAAAGTTCCCCAAAGTTCCCCAAAAAAATTATCATGCCAAAAAAATTATCATGCTGCAAGTATCAACAAGTAAGTCAAGATTATACCTTACTAGAAACCCGCCGCTAGTCGAAAGCTTTGTTCGAGGAAATTTTAAGCGTCAGTTATGTTTTAATTTCTCTTCATCATATAGCCCCAAAACGATACTTTTTACCGCATCAAAAAATTTCAATCACAACCAAAGTTATAAATATATATAGGTATATAGCGTCATGAGGGTAAATGTGAGCTAGTTGTGAAATTCTGATATTTCAATCGAGAATGACAGTCAATTGAATTATTGCCAGGCAATTAAAATGTTTAACTGCGCAAAATTATTTGCGTAATTAGAAAACAACAATATTTTTGTTGATTGTGTGTGCGCGGCGTAATGTCAGCATTGTGTGTAGCTCTAGCGAATTTAGTATCGAAAAAAAAGTATCGATACTTTTTACTGCATCAAAATATTGCAATCACAAACAAAGTTATAAGAAGTCATAGCGTGAGCGTAAATGTGAGCTAGTTTTGAAATTATGACGTAGCATACAGCATAACAACGCGCGTTGTTAATCTGTGGTTGCTCGCGCACGTGCATTTTTATCGTTGCTACGCAACAGCGCAGTAAACCTTTGCTAAAATAACGCCATTATTCTAACGATTATTTAACCTCACTTCCGACGTTAATTATAAAAAATCTAAAGCCTAAATCAAAATTCTAAGAATGCTATAGCCTATTCCTATCCTTTTTCTACAACCCTGCTAAAAATGGCGAGGTTTCAACTCCATTTGCGAGCTGGGTTTGGCTTCACCAGAGGGTCATTTTGATGTCGATTTTCGGTGTTTTTTCTTCTATGTCCCCGTTGCCGGGGAAATTTCGTCAAGTTTAAAATATAATATAGATAATAACATACATGTTAACATTAATGGGTATTAATGTATATTAGAGAAATTTTGAATAATTTTGAATAATTTTGAATAATTTTGAATAATTTTGAATAATTTTGAATAATTTTGAATAATTTTGAATAATTTTGAATAATTTTGAATAATTTTGAATAATTTTGAATAATTTTGAATAATTTTGAATAATTTTGAGGAATTTTGGGGAACTTTTTTTTGGGGAACTTCAGAAATCTTGGGGGACTTTCCCAAAGTTCCCCAAAGTTCCCCTTGGACCCCCCCCCCCCCCCCCCCCCCCCCCTTATTAACTATCAAAGTAGTTTCATGATTTAAGACAGAAGGTGTGTCAGTATCATAGCGGGTAATATGTCTACCAGTTAGGAGACTCAAAGACATAAATAAGCCTCATAACTCTTGACGATTCAAATCCCTCGAATATCGAAGCAATAATTAGCTAGTATAGAACCAGCTGACACGGCCAATGATAAACCATGAAGTGACACAGATCTTAAAATCGAGGATGGATATACCTAAAGGTTTAGAGATTATCTCGTAGTTTCGTGATTTATATTTATTAAGGCAGAGGGTGTATCAGTATCATAGCGGGAAATACCGAGTACTGCACTAAATTACTAACAAAATTCTAGAAAATGTTGAAAGAGAAAGCAAATCGCTATAATAGCGTGAGCTAAATCCGGGAATTGAATTCAAAATTTAGCCTTATATATTCCCGAATTTGGCTGAATGGCATATCTGGTTCTCGGGTTCTATTTCGGTCAAGAGTTGGCTGGTTTGAACTAGTCAAATTATCAGTGCCCGGGATATAACTTGATAATTTAGTTTACCGTTTACCAGTTAATCCGGGGGGGGGGGGGGAGGTACTAAGTGCCGTACGTGACGTCGACTTAGTGCAGTTTTGGACTTTACAAAAAGGACCCACCCGCCCCCTTCACGGTACTAACTGCTTTTTCGAATAATATCTAGGACACCCACCCCCTTTTGCCGTACTAACTGTTGAGAAATCACGGTACTAACTGAGTCTTGGTATATAAAATAAGATACCCACCCATAAATTGCTTTAACTCTTTAAACAGCTCATTAAACATTGGGAAATGGGCAAATTATACCCACTATTTAGTATGGGTTTTGTTTTCAATGTAGTCGAATTAGATAAAAAGTTACAAACAATTTGTTTTAATTACAAAAAACTCAAAAAAAGCTCAAAACCCATTCCCAAAACTGAAATTTGAGGTAAAATGGGTTTTTTTGGGGTTGGACACCCAAAAAATAAACCCCTTAATACAAGAGTACTAACTGCGTTTTGGAAGAAAATATGACCCACCCACCCAACGTCACGTACGATTCCCCCCCCCCCCCCCCCCAAACCCCCCCCCAGGTTAATCACCAGCCAGCCATAACTATAAGAGCCTCTAAACGAATCTTTTAAGATCTTTAAAAATTCTTTAAGATCACTTTTAATTGTCAGGGATAAGTCCATTTACGTTATTCACCACTTCGCCAGCCAAGGTCCAAGGATGGCAAGCATATTTGCTTGGTCTTCTGAAAGCGTGAGTATTTAAAAAGTCTTGGCAAATTGAAAGATAATTTAAAATATCAGACTTTAATTAATTGTAAGTAAATATAAACGTTCGAAAAATCAAAACCCGAAAAGTGGATGATCAACAAATAGTATTAAAGCTATATCTCTGCTGCAGTGATTTTAAAATTCAACGATCAGGAGCGAGCAGTGCGCCACTTGACCATTAAAAAAAGCGCTGGCCTCCCAGTTAAGGAGATAAACATGACAAAGAAGTATGATAGGGGGAAGCAGCAATATTATAAAGAGGAAGCTTTACAACTTTATGAACTATTTAACTGCTAAACAGCAGAGCAGTCTACTGTGTAAGTGTAACTGTGTGTGGTCCTCCAAATCACTGCTGTCAGAACAAATTGGTACGATCCCAGAGCTCGCACAATACAAATTATCTAATGTAACGGAGAAGAAATGCCTGTGTCCTATAGTTATATAATATATATCGGTTATAGCCCATTCGACGTGGAGTTTGGTTATTAAGGTGTTCCTTGGAACTGTAAGCGGAGAGGAGGAGATTAAATATCAAATTATTGGCGCCTATAAAGCTATAAAGCTGTTTACGTCAACAAAGCAACTCCAAATAGTAGGAGCCAGGTGGATTGAACTTAACTGGTCAAAAAAGTTGACTCAACACATCTCCCCCTCCTTCAACACATCTCCCCCTTCTTCAACACATCTCCCCCTCCTTCAACACATCTCCCCCTTCTTCAACACATCTCCCCCTCCTTCAACACATCTCCCCCTCCTTCAACACATCTCCCCCTTCTTCAACACATCTCCCCCTCCTTCAACACATCTCCCCCTTCTTCAACACATCTCCCCCTTCTTCAACACATCTCCCCCTCCTTCAACACATCTCCTCCTCCTTCAACACATCTCCTCCTCCTTCAACACATCTCCCCCTTCTTCAACACATCTCCCCCTCCTTCAACACATCTCCCCCTCCTTCAACACATCTCCCCCTTCTTCAACACATCTCCCCCTCCTTCAACACATCTCCCCCTCCTTCAACACATCTCCCCCTCCTTCAACACATCTCCTCCTCCTTCAACACATCTCCCCCTTCTTCAACAGAAGGGGGGAATTTTATTTTTACACTTGTGTCTTTCCCTTCCTGTCCAAAAACATTATATGCCTTTAAAATCCTATTTACAATAATCATAGAAAAATATAAAAACGTAGAATATCATAAATAAAACATGACTCACGAGAATGTTGAGTGGGGAACTCCATATTTGAAATAAGGTTTTTTCATTTAAACGCGGAATATCGAGGCAGGTTTGAGAAATAAGTTCGAATTTGGTATTTTAAAAGCATTAAATATGACCTCTACCG